AAACAACTACCATTAGTATGGGGGGAGGGCTGACTTAAATACTTCCCAGGTTCCATATACGCCAGAGAACATTCTGTCCATTAAGAAAAATACACTGAATCCATTAGTTGAGCTGACTGCCAAGCAGATCAAAATTAAAAGAAAGTTGGACTGATGGTATAAAGCAATTAATCAAGAATAGCAGCTTTCAAATTTTAAAATGATTTTCAAAACTGCAGACAGATAACAGCACACTCATAGGCTGTAATGGCGCAATCTCCCCTAGGCCATTTTTGCCTTTTGTCTATTGAAAGCATCTGCAGTGTATAGGAGTATTTAGTCTCTCTATAACAGCAGTAGGGCACAATTAAGCCCACACTTCCCTATATTCGTAGAGACTGTCACACAGGTCTGCAACCTCAGGGTTATCCTCAACCCTTCTGTCTCCTCATTACTTACCCATAGCTAGACCATAATAGCACTCCCTCCACCCTAGCTTCACTTCACAGCATCACTCTTTTTCACTTGGACTACTGCAACAGCATCCCAATTAAACTTAGGCATTCTAGTTTTCTTCTCTCCACCTCGCTACCAAAATAATCTCCTTAAAGCTCAAGTCTAAACATATCACCCCTTAAGAAGTTGCAGTGGCTCCCTTTTGCCTTTAGGATTAAATATAAAGTCTGACTCATTTTGGCATTTAAAGTCATACACACACACAAAAAAAGTTATATTGATGCTTTTTATTTTTCTATCACAGTTATAACAATATATTTTCAACCCATCCCTGGAACTGAAGCCTTCTTTTAGAAGGAGGGGAAAATAACATGGTCTATATCATAAATAAATATATGGTCTACCTCACAGTATTAGCAAAAAGTGAGGGCATAGTAGCTATAATTCAATTCAGTCTTATAAGAAGCCAATAATTTTTACAATTAAAATTTAAGAGAATAAATATTATACTTTAAGCTTGAGATTTTTACTGGAAAAAATTGTCCCTCTTTTTTCTACTTACTACTCCAATATGATGTATAAGGCAGTTATCACAACTTTAAGAATTTAGACACCAAGACTGTCTTTAAGTCTCACACTGGGGAAGAAATCTAGCTATAGATTGCTAGTTCATTGCCTCCATCATACCCTCAAAGCTCTGCTTTTCTTTCTACGTTCTCTCTTGGTGACCTAATCAGCTTCCCTGATGCCAAAGATTCACAGATCTTTGTATCTAGCCCCCATTTCTTCCACAGAGTGCAATCTGCATTACCAGTTGCCCACTGGGCATTTTAAACTAGATGCTCTGGAGACATATTAAACCCAACATGTCCAAAACAAAACTCATTATCTTTCCTCCTATTGTTCCCCTTTCCTAATTTCTGCCCAAGTCACCATCATTCTTCCAGTTGCCCAGGTTTGTAACCATGGCATGGTTTATAACCCAACTCCTCACTCTTTCCTCTCTTCATATATGCGTATCCTTCTCTGTACTCACATAGCTGCCACCTTAGTTCAAGCGCTCATTACCTGTCACCTAGAGATCTAGTAATCATCTGCATAGAAGCCCTCAGTCTCTGACCCTATACTAAATGGTCCTAGGATGCTACTAATTGTTGCCCGATGTGTTTTGTTGCTGCTATTGATTACCAGAGGAAATTACATAATCCAGTTTGTTCTAGTTCCAACTTTTCATTTTTCACACAATGCTAAGATGTTAACAGGCTATATGACCTGGAAACTCAAGTTGGCTTCATTTCTCTTTTATGATATCAAGAAATGGGCTTCCTGATAGCTATTATCTTTACTATAAAGCATTTACCCTTCCTTTCCAGAAATCTGACTGCCGGATGAGTATTAAAACAAATACTGTGTGTGGATGATGTTTGTACATCACACAGTCAGACCTTTAATTGATTTTGTCCATTTTTCATACTTCCTATCATATCAGTCTGAACTAGTCTTATGACTTTAGTGATAAATATACTTACTGAAAAGCACTTCTACATCAGGGGTATGGGCAGTTGAATCAGAATAACAATAAATCTTATTTCTCTGGTGCTTTGTTTCCAGAGCACGTGGCTCCCAACTCTTCAAGGCAGACAGTCAGATATTATCTCCATAGACAAGGAAACTGAAGGTCATAAGTTATGTACCCAAACACACTGTTTGGGTTGGCTGTTAAATGCCTGAGGTCCAATTTCAACACATCCTCAAGTCCGTAGACCTCTCAGGAAAAAATAATTTACCTTAAACAGTTCAGTATAAAGTATTTTGAGGGGAAAATTAATATGAAAGGACAAAAGCGCAAAGGAAACTTGTCCCCCCCCCCAAAAGATTCAGGTGAAATATCAAGTCCTCTGTCATCCAACAGTATTTTGTACTCCTGTGTATATGTCATATCCTAATTCATTTCTATGTAGCCCTCAGCACACATGGAGATTACACAGAATTAGAAAAAATAGAATTGAACGCTGAGTGAAAATTCTAATCTTAAAAGTTCTGTGGTGCTGAACTACCTATGATGCTCGTTTGAACCCTGAACCATATTGTTATATCAATATCACGAACTCCATGAAGCCATTGTTGAATCAGGAAGAAGCTTTATTAACAACCTGAGAAGTCCCAGTGTCCCACGTTTGAGACCACACTTGTGAGAATGAATGTGTCAACAAATGCACACCTTTTTATTCCCTGTTCCTCATTCAAATTTCCTTCCCCTGTTTCACCATTTGCTGGGTACTACAGAGGTTACAACCTATCTGAAGTGCCTAATTTCCCCTGGTGAGTCTCTGACCCCTAATTACATCTCCCACTCCCCCGGCCCTTACTTGGGAACACCCTTTGGATGTTAATCCATATGCAGCTGCAGTATCTACATATCAGACACCATGAACCCCACAAACCCTAATTTGAAACAGTCTGCTCTAAGAAAGAAACTAATGAAATTGGGGCATGTGTCCATGGTTTAATTTCTCAAAGTGGCTTAACATGCATTGCTTGGGAGTTCAGTCCAAAAAAGGGCCCCCCAAGGGGACCAGTTCAGAATTGGCTCAGTTTGGGATTCTGGGGTACAGCATTATATGCCCTTCAAAGAGTAGGTGTTCCCAAGGGGGTGCCAATCGACTGTAATATATTAGGAGCTGGGTGGGTTACTTAGATCACTCAGTCCACAGGGGCGGATACTGCCCTGCCCCAGTCTTGGAAGTCTATCTCTACCCAAACCTGAGTAGGATAAAATCAATTCAGGCCTGGGTTGGAATTTGACCAAGATAAGAAGATTCAATGCAATCTCATTATCAGAGATGTCTTTCTGAAGAACTTTGGTCAAAAGGCTGGCGGGGGGAGCTCTGAGTCTCCAAGACACAGATTACCAAGAGAAATCATTTTTAACATAATCTATTCTATTAGTACTAGTACTCTTATCCAAAGGATAGGCTTCCCAAATAGCCAGAGTGAGGAAATGCTAAGATTCTAAAATCTAATTCCAAATCATTTTCATTCATCTATACCCAGAAAAAAAGTAAAGAGGTTAGAGGGGAGAGGGAGGGTTGAAGCAGTCTGTTACAAAAGAACCTGAATCTAGTAAGTGATAATAGAATAAGATCTGGGTTTCTATGAGTATGCTTTCAGCTACCTACTCCTCCAACCTTGTGAGGAGAAGACCTGGAGAAGTCCATTACTGTTGTCCATCCTCCCCCACTTTCTCTTGGATACTATCTAATCAACCAACACTTATTAAGCCCACTATATACCAAGCACTGTAGATGCAAAAAGGACAGTCCTTGCCTGCCAGGAGCTTCCTCACAAGGTTTTTGTACCATCAATCTCTTCTGTTTTTCTTAAATGTCGGACCACTTTTTCCAGTCTCCTTTACTTTATCATAGTCCACGTCCACCATGAATGTGTATCAAGGGCTCTGTCCTGGGTCCTCGGCTCGTCTTTTCTCTTGTTGAGTTCAAAAACTCTGGTGGGTTCAACTACCATCTCTACACCTAATCATCCAACCCTCATTTCTCTCCTGGGTTCCTGTCCCATATCATCAAATGTCCACTGGACGCCTCCATCTGGATATCCAGTGGGTAACTTAGCATGTTCACAACAGAATCCTTCAACCCATCCACCCTTTCTTCTAACTTTCCCCTATGTCTACTGAAGACACTTCTATCATTTTAAAGTCACTCAGATTTTCAACCTTGACAATCTTTCACTCTGCCTTCACACCCAAAGACATACAAAAATTTCCTTACCTATTCTTATCTTTGTCTATTATTTGTTATCACCTATTAGTCTCCTCATTTCCAGTCTTTCCACTCTCCAATACATCCTCTACACAGGTGACAAATTGATACACTATGATCTGCCACTCTTCTGCTCAAGAAATTTCAGTAGTTCCCTACTACTTATAGGATAAAAAACTCGTCTGTTTGGCATTTAAAGCCCATCACAATCTGGTTTATCTTTTTTCCAGATTTATTTCCTTCATATACTTCATATTTTAACCAAACTACTCTACTTTTAGTTCTCCATATATAACACTCCATTTCTTGTTTCTGTATCCATGAATGGACTATTTTCCCTCCTTATTATGTCTACTTCTTTGGATCCCTAGTTATCTTCAAGGGTGAGCTTATGTATCACCTTCTACACAAAATCCTTCCACACCAACTTCTTCCCCATCCAGTCGTTAGCACTTCCCCAACCAAAACTTATTTTGTATTTACTTACCTGCATACCTCTGTATGTCTTCAGTAAAATATAAGCTCGAGGGCAGGCACTTTCATTTTGGTCTGTGATAAAACTTTGCCAGTTATGTAACACTGGCAAGAATTTCCAACATCAGTATTAGGTGAGAATCTTGAATCACATATGGGGGTTTTGGAAAAAAAGGTACTCTAGTATGCTAATTTTAGTCATGTATGGTTATAACAACAACAATGTATCCTTTCCTCATGGCATCATTTGTCAGGTAGGAAAGGTGATTTGAATTACAGAGACTGATTTTTTTTTTTTTCCCTATTTGAAAGGTGTCCTGGAATGGCCATTCTGGACAAAACTGGTTGTGGTGGCCATTGGCTTCACAGGAGGCCTTGTCTTCATGTACGTACAGTGCAAAGTCTATGTGCAGCTGTGGCGCAGGCTGAAGGCCTACAACCGTGTGATCTTTGTGCAGAACTGCCCCGATACTGCCAAAAAGTTGGAGAAGAACCTCCCCTGTCATGTGAGCACAGACATCAAGGATGCTGCAGTAGTGCCCGTGTCACAAATAGGTACAAATGTACTGCTGACCACAGAGGGTGGAACCCCAGAAGTCATACCAGTCTGATGGGACCAGCTGACCTTGTTTTACCAGAGTCTGAAATGTTTTCCAGCCCTCAGTGACTAGAGAGCAGAAGTGATCTTGCATTGTTTCCCCACCCTAACCCTAGCTACCAACTCCTTACCTACCTTCCAACAAAACAAAAGAAAAATGCATCAGATGAAATGGGACAAGTACAGCAATGACCAAGATCCCAGAAAGCTGGGTCTAGGGTGGGATGTGGACACGTATGTATAAAGTCTATTAAGAGAATCCTTTCTGAAAGACAATGCAAGCTCTTTGTGGCAAGGTGCGCTTTTAACACAAATACTCACTGGTCACAGTATCAAGAGGAAAGTGGGGGAAGAATGAAGACTTGAATTTCAATGTGTATTTTTACTTCTAGGGTCTTTTCTGACAAAGATTTCGTCTTCAAAACTGACGGGGAATAGCAAACACATCTGGCTTAAAATCTTAGAGTTGCTTGCATTAGTTCTAAATCAAATCAGGAAAAGACTTTAAAGAGGATGGGCTACATGATTTCTAAGGTCCCTTCCATTAGTGAAATTCTATAATTCTATAAAGGATGCATATTTTTCTGAGACTTCACACTTTAACAGTAAATAGATTTTTACGGCTACCCTGGAGCCTGTTTTGACAGCTGCATGAGTTAGAAATAGATGCAATACACATTCAATTGTGTACAATGAAACATTTTTGAGAAATGATATTCGACGAATATTTATGAACAGAGTTTAGAATATTTTTTTGTTTTATCTTTCATGCAAATGCCAACCAAAATTCCAAGCCAACTACTTGGTTCTATGTCTTCTCTGCTGCCACCAAAAACAGAGTTGACCATGCCTTGGATTTTAATACAGTGTCTGAATATTTTTTAAAACAGAAGCTTCACTGCTTATTGTATTAAAAGGATTCACAAGCATATAATTCTTACAAAGCATTACGTTTAGTTCTATCTATCTTAAGTAAGTACCCTGCTTGAATGGTTAAGGAAAGTGCTATCCCTCAACAGGTTAAAAACCGAATGCAAGTTGCAGTATTACACAAAGGGGCAGAAAACCAACTTCTGCTTCTCTGAAGCATCTGGGAGAGGAAAATCCAATTTAAAGTTGCTTTTGGTTCTACACCTAAAAGCCTAAAATTACGAGGCTGTATATAGTCTATTAAGTAGTGCCCAGAAAAGAAGTTGTTAGGGCAGTGATGACAGAACATCTAGCCCCTTTTAAAAGGCCAGTGTCTCTTGCTTTGCTCAGCTGGTTTGGGTGAATCCCACGCTGAGAAAATGGAGCTCAGCGGTTCAGTTGTTATGATGTTCTGTGCATATTCATGTAAAACTAAAGTGTGAACGACATTGCAGTGAGTTCGACTACTGATCATAGGTATAATGGTGTGATCAAAGAAAGATGTCCTATATAAAAAACAGACAAAAGAAGGTGTGTGATTTGCTTTTGTTAATTGTCATATTTATTATTGTGGCAAGATAGCCATGGTGGCTGTAAGAATCAGTGCATGGTTTGCACAAGTCTGGTTATCACGCTGATGCAATTTGTAATTACTTGAGTCTCTTCTGTGCTCTTGTGGTTCATGGATTTTGTCATAGGAAGAGGAAAACAAAACCCCTTCCAGGGAGGAGATGGACTATGTTAACTGGTAGTAGCTATCTATCTCCAGAGTCCAAACAATCCCAATTCTTAGAAATACTAAGTATGATGATTTGTCAGTTTTTTTAATGTATTCATGTAAATACACAGCAGCAAAATGTAATGGTTTTCTGATTGTCACAGGACCAAGTTTGTATAAATCATTGCTCTGCAAGGTGGTGTGGAGGGTATGAGATGAGGAAGCAAGCAGATAAAAAAACATGGGTGGAAATGAAATGCACCAACTATGGACAGACACAAACATTATCAGTTGCATTTTTAAAAATCCTGAGCCTAAAATCCTGTAATTAAGTTACTCTAAAATTTCTGATCCAAAGCTTTAAGGTGAATCCATGACTTTAACACTAGCTTTGAGAGGCTTAACTGCAGGTTTCACACAAGAGTATTAATCTTGCTTCAGTTTTCTAACTCATTTTCTTGGGCTTTATATATAATTGTCCATTTTTTTTCCCAAACGGATTAGCAATCATAAAAGACATTTCCAGAAAAATATTTCACCTGAAAAACATTTTGAATATCACTGTTTTCACCTATAGGGCACGGATTATTTCTGTTATAACCACCCCAAACAAATTTAAAGCAATCTCTTTACAAACCTAACCATCACAGACATATGCACAATCTATACCACGGTGGTGAGTCAAGGCAGCAAAATGAGGTCTCATTGACTGGGGGCTATACTTAATGCTAAGAAAATGATTCCCAAAGTGGGGAGGGAGGGCACTGAGTAGTATCTTAATAGGAAAAAGATGGCAAGTTGTTAAAAAACTTGATTGGATTTCAAGTTACCAAGAAAACAACAAAAGGTGATAACCCAATATTTTGTTCTCTCTATGCTGCACTTTCCTTAACCCCCAAAGCATTTCTGATTCAGATTCTTTGAGCAACTGTCATGCAATGTCTAGTCATCTTTCAGTCTGAAATAACTATTTAAATTAAGCATCTAGTGTTAAAGGTTTATTCTTTTGTATTTTATATGGTAATGATGCATATAGCCCTTCCAATGGACGGTTCCACTCTTTCTGCAGTCAGTAGTTCTGGAGACTGAAAATATTGCCAAAAAAAAAAAAAAAAATATTGTCCCTAGCAAGGAGCATTTACAAAAGTTCATATATGTATAGGGATGTAAAATGCAACCAACAAACTGAAATAACCAGCTATCAGATCTCATTCACAACTCTGATTCTTTTCAGTTGGGAAATAATCATTTCGGATCTTATTAATAGTATAAGCCCATAGAGTTGTACCACTAAAATATTATGCATATCATAGAAAAATTAAGTGGATGGCTCTTTTCCTTCTATGAGATTGTGGATCATGAATTTAGTAACAAGAATGAACCTCCAAAAAACTGTGAAGTCTAAAAGTTCCTTCATCCAACGTAATAGAAAAACAGAGGGGGGGGGAGAAGAATAGAGTGGAAGAGGGGAGATCAGGGGAAAAAGAGGGAAGAAGATAAAGGCTGCTGAAAGAAGGAATCGAAATGAGTCATCTTTAAGAAGGCTTCAGGACTAACTCAGTCTAAACTGCACTTTAACAATATATAGTTAGAACTCCAGATAGATAAACAGCATTGATCACATAGCCACCTTCTGCAAACACTTGTGATTTTTTTAATTTGTTTTGTTTTTGCAAAAGGTGCCTTAAGTACCTACAGCTGTCTATATTTTGTTTGGTTGGAGAAATGAGCTCACTATAGTGAGGAAAATATTAGGGGGAAATAACACTGACTTAGAAAATATGAATTATTTCAGTTGTCTGTATTGACATGAATTTTATTTTTTCCTGATTCTCTAAAGTTAAGATTTTGGGGGAGAAATAAACCTTTTAACTTTTTTTAAAATTATGATTCATCAGGGTTAAAGTTTAACCAAGAAGGGTGAAAGCAGTTTTATTCTTAAATCAGCCCAATGGTGCTATTTCACATACCCACAAAACGGAACGGAAGTACTGTTATTTTGGGCCACAGTGTTTCCTCCACATCTGAAGAAAGCCCATTCTGAAAGTGAACACTGCACTTACACAAATAAAAGAATATTCCGGTTGTGTGCAATTCTTGAGATTGGGCATTTGTGTTATTTTGGTTTTACCCAAGTGCATAAACAATTAGATGTTTTGTGAACTAATGTGTATTAAGTAAGAAAATGAAGGACAAGAAAATATCTGTGGAAGAAAAAGTTTGTATATTAAAAAAGTGACCCAAATCTCTGAAAGTTTTCTCAATTTTTTTTGCTTAATTTAATCAAATTTGTTTGTTCACATTTCTACATGTTCTTACCTGAAACATTTCAGCAATCTTTGGGCTCCTCTAAGTTGAACATTGGTTTCCAGAAAGAGAGGAGTGCCAGAGGTAGAGGAAAAACACTATATTAATCAGTATAAAGGGAAGGAAGAGGGGAATTTGGGAAGTCAAGTCATAGCCTAAATCACTAAAATCAAATACACAATTTCAGTGATAAAAATACTTGCTAACTACAAACCACTCTCTTATACTTCCATACCTGAAAGTTTGCTCAAAACACGAAAATTTCTGCATTTGGGGAAAGCATGCCTGAGTAATACACAAAAATTAATAAAGATATATAAAATAAGCAAGCTATTGATATCGCACCAGTAAATAAGATTTTGGGGGATTTTTTAAAGGCTTAAAAAATTAAGTCCTTATTAGTACTAGAAGGAATGTTTTCTCATAAAAGGTAGATTTGGTTCAGAGCCTAGAGACAAAAAAGACATTTCTCTGGAGAGAGAATTAGGAACAATTAATTTAGTTTAAGCTAGATTCATGCATTATAATATATATTATATATAATATAGCTATAATTGATTGAGAATTTAAGAATATTTGGGATGTTTACCTCCAACTCCAGTAGCTTACTACTAATTTCAAAATCAAATATGGCCAAACATTCACTTTAGGAAAATCACTTTAGCAGCTCAGTGGAAGATGGATTAGAGTAGGAAGAGACTTAAAACATTGAGACCAGTTATACTAATTGTTCAAGTGAGAACTAATGAGGACCTGTATTAGAGTGGTATCTACCTGAATGAAGAGGAGATATACTAGAAAGAAAGAAAGAAATGAGAGTCTGGCAGCTTCTAGTTCTGAGTGCTGGTGTCTGGCATGTGCTGAGGCCTGTGGGGTGTTTCTGCATTTCCTCGGGGCTGCACTGCCGCAGGTGGAGGTCTGACCACTGGAAGTTGCCTGTTTTTGCTCCTGAACCTGTTCATCCATTGATCAATTGCATTTATTTATAAAATGGACAGGGTTGGTGGGGTGGAAATGGAACAGAACAGTGAAACTATGTGTCAAACAGAAAATAAAAACATGTTGAGAGCCTTATTAGCACTGTTTTAACTAAGCTAACGAGCACTGATAAGAGTGGTAGGCTCTTTGTAATTGTTCCTTAGAAAATTTTAAAAATCTGTTCCATTGTAGCTGGAAGTAATCAAAATAGTGATCCTGCTTCTCAACTATTCCCACTGTCTCTCTCCTCTCCCCTACACTCACATATACTTTAAAAAAAAGAGTTGATAATCATCCATGGCAGGAGGGAAGCCCGGCCCAGGAAATATTTCTTTACCCACTATCATCCTCTGTCCTCAAAGTTATAAGTATTCTGATCTATATGCTCTTCAATCTAAAGTGTAGCCTCATGTGTAAAGACTAATTTGCAATTTCAGTTATCAAATGGGAATCTGGATTCAATTCCTGCCTTTCCTTCCACTTATGAGTTTTGTGACTTTGGACAAATCATTTAACCTCAAGTTCTGTTTCCTCATCTATAAAGTGGGGAGAATATGTATGAAGGTTGTTGTGAGGAAAATCTTCAATTAACCTTAAGATGCTGTGCTAATGTAAGCCATTATAGGAGACAGCATGGATTTAGAGGGCATGTGGAGACTCAGCCACTGGAGGCTGCCTGTTCACCCAAAGTTATGCTAAAACACGTGGTGGGGGCTGGCCTCTCCAGCTGCCTTGTTTGCTTAGGCACCAGTAGGGTGTTTACCTGTTTGCCCCTGTCTACACTGAAGCACGTGGAGGTCTGCCTGCTGGAGTCAGCCCACTCCCCTGGCCATGCTTAGGTACATGGGGGGGTCCTGGCGTTGCCATCTGCCCGCTCCATCGCTCTGGGGCTCAGGATCTACTGCTGGTTTTCTGAGGTGTGGCTTGCTGCTGGCTTACCAGGACACTTTCTGTCCTGGACTGCATTCCCCTTTTACCAGAGACAGACCTTTCCTTCCAATCTTCCAAGTTTCTTGGGCTAAAAGACTGTTTTACCCAGGATTTGTTTTGGGGCGCTATTTTATGGTTACTTGGAGGCAAATATGGAAGAGCTGCAGCAATTTAATGCTTACTCTGCCATCATGGCTCCCTAGGAATGACATTCTTATTTAGGATTCCTTTTGTTTGGGAAAGAACCAAGCTTATGAAACAATTCACATTCATTCCCAACTTCCTTACTTAACCAAGTTCTCTATCCACCACTTGACAGCTGAACCTTTGAAGCAACTAGACCCCAGAAAACAAGAGCAGAGGGAAAGGCTTAGAGCAAGAAAGGACCTTAGAGGTACAGTTGGTCCAACCCCCTCATTCTGCAGATGGAGAAATCATGATCCAACATCGTTAAGGGAGTTGGGGAATCAAGCATAGTAAGAAGCAGAAATAGCTCTTAGGATCTTCACAGTGCTTGACAACTGTTAGTACTCAAAAGTACACATGGTGTAATGGAGGAGGAAGTCGGGATTACCTCAGTTTAAGTCCTGCCTCTGACAATCATAAGTTGTTTAAAAAGAACCTCCATGATCTTCACACAACTAGGAGTTATCTACTAAGTTACAGACCACTGTAATCTCTGTTGGCATAGATCACTTATTACAAGATTCATTTTGATAATACAAAGTTTCCATAGACTTGCAAAATCTGAAATTTTTATATAATTATGAAACCACTCCTTTAACCTAACTTAATGAAATAAATAAGAATGAACTATAACACTGAAGGAAAAAAGGACCTAATACTGCCAATATAAAAATAAGTTTTATTTTTAGCCTTCATAAAGGATATATATTTCAAACATTGACAAATTGTTTTAAATTAACAAAAAATAATCTCTCAACCTGTCTTTCCCTAACAATTCACTTGTTATGAATATGACACATGTTAAAAGTATGTTGTAAATAATAACACTGAATAACCTCATCTTTCTAGCAAATGTTTTTGTTTCTCTAAATTCTGAAGGAAGGCATTATCGTCTGTCAATTTATCTCATCCCTTGGAAAGAATGCGTAGATAGGTATTTTCTTCTATCTTAAGACTGCTTCTGCTACAGAAATATCTATCATATTTCATGATAGGAAATCACAAAATTATATACCAGCTAGGGAAGGCAACCAGAATTCATTTATGCCCCAGTTAAAAGACAGATTAACTTAGCAAGAGTGGAAATTAACATAATAAGACACTAGTAGTTCTTATTAATTTTTCCACTCTCTTTGGTTGTGAAAGCAACAATTAATATGTCAGTGATGAATGTTTTCTTTCTACACAAAGTACTTCTTACTACTTCTAAAAAAAAGGAGGGAGGGTGATATAATAATGAAAGGGTTGGGTTTGTCATGACTGTAGTGAAGACCTTGCTTTGGGCTTCTAAACTATGTATAAACACATTAAGGAAACAAGTTTTTACACCTAACCAAAAACTATGATAAAGAGTATCACTTCAGGAGTATTTTTAGGAACTATCATGATAAAAAGGAATCGGTTTCACTGTGCTAAGCTAGAAGGCAGAATCAGAATAAGAAGTAATGGGGTAGGTGAGGCTCAGCGGGAAAGGGAAAGGCTCCCTAACAATGAAAGCTAAGCCAAAGTGGACCAGGCTGATTCTTCAAACAATTGGCTCACACTCACTAGACGTCTTCAGCAACAGACTGGGTGACCACTTGAAGGGTATATTGTAGAAGAGATTCCTGAATAGTAAGGGTATGAGCTAACAGAACCTGGAGGTCTTTTCCAGTTTTGATATTCTATATAATAAAAAAAGACCTCAACTAATATGCCAATTCCTTTTTCCTCATCCTGATACACTCAAGTAAAAGGATCACTAATACGCATTTCTTTTCTTGGTGGCTTAAATTTAAATATTAAGCATTCTACTTCAAATATGACTTATTAACATATTCTTTTAAAACTGCACAGCAAATATTACTTTATAGGCCAGAACAGGAGAGAGATTCTGTAAATTTGTATGAGAATATTTACCAGCAATGCTTGAAAGTACTATAGTGTAATTATTTCTTCTTCAGTCAAATCAATTAGAACTAGGCCACCTCTGGCATTTCCTCGTCGGAGTCATCTGATCCATCTTGGCTGTCTATTTTCCCCAAGTCTACCTCTGTAGACGCAATATCTTTCTTCTTGGCCTTGTTAGAAATTCCATCATTAGCACAAAATTTTCTCATCTTAATATTTGGCAGTTTCTTCAGATCACCATCCCATTCCCTACATAAAAGGAGAGAGCACAGAGAAAAATCAATATTTGCAAGTGTGAAAATACTACAAAGGAAAATACAAGTATCACATTTTAATGCACTGAAGGATAGCAATTCCTCAAAGACAGAGCATTTTCTATCCTCCTGAATTTTCCCCTTGAGGTACGTTAGAAACAGCTACCAACACCAACACTTATCTATAGCACTTTAACAGCAGCATGGCAGAAAGGCATCAGAGAAGGGTCATAGCTGGCCTTGTTCTCTTCTCCGTTCTGCCATAGTCAGAGCATTCCCCACCCCAAGGGTTTTGTGGCCTAGGCATATGCAAGAGGAGAAACAATGAAATCATTGGTTCTAAATGTATGGAAAGAAGACATTCTAAGTCCTCTAACTACATAAACTCTAAGTACAATGGTGCTACATCATTTACAGAAGCCAGTACTCCAATCTATGTCTGCCCTGCCACTGAGTGTTTAATAAAACACTTCTCTATTTGGAACGTCAAGGATGACTTAAGTTAGAGAAAAGGAAAGATTCATGTAGCACATCCCAATGTAACCTCACCAACTGGAAACTCTGAAAATGCCAGATCTTACCAAGTTACAGTTGTTGAACTGTCATTTATTAGAAAGCAGTCTTCAAGGGAATGGTCAAGATGAATAAACAATTTAATACAAGAAGCACTTGTTAAAAGCCTACTATGTGCTAGGAATTAGGTGAGGTGCTATGACATAAAGGCAAAGCTTTTATACAAATACAGCAGGTAGGTGGCACAATAATGGAGAGTACTAGACTTAGAGTCCAGGAAGACCAGAAACCAAATCCTGCTTCAGATATATACTAGCTGTATACCCTGTGGCAAGTCACTTAAGCCTCCCTTGCCTCAGTCTCATCATCTGTAAAATAGAGATGATAACACCTACCTCACAGGGTTATTGTGACAATCAAATGTATTTTGTAACCCCTGAAGCACTATCTAAACACGAGCTGCTAAGACACGTAAGTGAGGAGAGAATATGTTCTCTCCAGTCATGGACAGCTGCCAATAGTCATATAGGTGGGAGAGAGAACACCCAGTTTGAGGGAACAGTAAGAAAACCAATTGTGTTAGAATGCAGAGTGTGTGAAATATGAAAATAAACCAGAAAGGTAGGTTGAAACCAAATTGGGAAGGGCTTTAAATGCAAGAGTGAGCTTTGAAATTTTACCCAACAGGAAGCCACATTATTGAATAGAAAAGTGAGATGGTCAGACCTTATAAGATGATTTAGAAGACAATAAGCTCTTTCAACAATACTGTATCCTAGGCATAATACGGTTTGAAATACCATCAGTGATTATCAACAGTGGGTTCATGTGAAAACTTGTAAAACACATGTTAGAATCTTTACATTCAATATGGCTGCTGTTTCTACTGGAAGAGGTTATTTTGGTTTGTTTTGCTTTTTGGCTTTTTTTTTTTTTTTTTTTTGCTTTCCCTCAGAAATTAGTGGAGCAACAAAGCTGTGTTTAATTAATAAATAATTTTCATGTTTAATCTCAGCATGGGAACACAGATTTAGATCTAGAAGGGACCTGAGAGATTAACAGGTCTAACCCCCTTCACTTTACAGATGAGGAAAGTGAGTCTTACATATGTTAAATAATGTGCTCAGTGTCACACAGCTTAATAAATATCTAAGACAGGATTTAAACCCAGATCTTTCCAATTCCACAGTACTATAATTCCTCTCCGTATGGCTGCAGTAGTTCTGATTCTCATGTTTGGATTGCTTTAGAAGCATTCAGAACGAAACATTTTAAGAAAATGATTCTATTCACCATCACCAAGATATGTCTATCCCTTTTCTTTCACTGATGGTTCTTGCTTTTGTGAGCTAGGCCTTCAAATACACTATTTCAGATAAAAGAAACTAGCAAGACATTAATAAAAGACACTAGCTATACAGATCAATATGAACATTAGGCTTCCAATTGGTGAGTCTCCACTTCTAGCCCAACCTAGACCTACCACACTGCTGTTCCCAGCCATCTTCACCCCTACCTACATTTTTCCACCTCTTGTTCTGGAAACAGCAATCAAATCAACACAAACATTCTAGGAAAAAGCATATGAACTAATTGCTCTAACTACTTATCATCCCTTTAATTTCCATGACCAAAACAACCCTTTCTCTGGCCACCATTCCATCATATGTGTTGACTTCCTCTATTAGACTGTAAACTCCCTGAGGACAGGGGCCATCTCACTTTTTGTATTTTTATTCCAAGCACTCAGCACAATTCCTGGCACACAGCCTCAGGCACTACTGCAAGATTATGCATGTAGAGGTAGGGAGAAAGAATACTACCTTTTTTCATCCCTTTTGCCTGAGTTCCTTGACTGCTTCAAAGGGTTTGAATGAGAACGAAGTCAACAACTTAATTCCTTCAGATGAAGTGGGAGAACCACCTGGCCTTACCACCATATAACTTGCCATCTACCTTGCCACTTCCTCCTAAGATTCTCCAGGCTTTACCATTGACTCTGTTTAACCTGGCAATGACATCTCATCTACTCCTTGCCATCCAACCCACCACTATATCTTTGGCACTTCTGGGTTTTTCCATCAGTCCTGCAATTCAATATTTATATGTCTTGGCCAATTTGAGTATGAATTTTCTCCTCGAGAACAGAAACCATGTACAAATTTTCTATTCGTATCCCTAACACTTACCATAACACTTGGCACAAAATAAGTACTTAATAAATGTTTATTTTTCATTAATTCATATGCTGGACATTCAGGAAATAGAGATTTTTTGTGAGTTATGAGAAGTTTTCAAAAGCTCTGCCAGGAGAGAGTAGACCGACAGATTCTACCATGCTAGAAAGGCTTCAATTATATAAAATTCCAGCAGCAGCAGATCAAGTCTACTTTCTAAGAACTGGCCTGGCTAAACACAAAGAGGCTCATCACCAGTAAGCTGATGGTCAGTTGATGGTCAATTCTTTGGCCATGACAATTTATGAAACAAACACCAAAACTCTTAAATCCTATGCAGTCTCTCTTCTGCTTCTACAGTGACAGTAGCAGGGTAATGGAAAGACGGACAGAGAGTACTGAAAATTATAGTTTTTAAACCATCTATAATTTTTAATTTGGCTACGTTACTCTAAATGTGAAATCTCATTCAATGACTAGAGTGGAGATGAATGCACTGGAGGAACTCAGTCATGACAATCTTAAATTTTTTTAGTATAAACTATGCCAGAAGAAGGTTTGCAATTAAATGGAAGAAGGGTTCCATGCAAAGTAGAGAAAGACATGGGCAGAGTTGGGTTTTTTATTTTCAAATATACCAAAGACACATTATTTAATGAGATTTGGTAATCTTTTAGTGCAGTGCTTGTGATACGTATTTGCAAAAAGATCACTACAAAAATAACTGAATCTTATGCACCAACATTGGTTGCAGAGGATGAAAAGGTAGAGAAAATTTACAGAGAACTAGATAAAGAAAGGTCTTCAAAATTAAATTTGATACATGGTGGCTTCAGTTAAAAGGTGGGATTAAGTAAGGATGGTGAGAACTATAGAGGAAAGCATAGGTTAGGAAGAAGGGATGGATGAGATTAAATACTTGAGCACTACAAAGAAGCCTCACGCCCTTATGTCATGAATACTTTATTCAAGAAAAGAATCTGTAGGCACTGGACATAGCACCAAATAACATCATAAAAAGATGAAACTGATTATATGTTTTTTTAATAGTTTTTTTTCCAATTACATGTAAAGAAAGTTTTCAATATTCACTTTTATAAGATTTTGAGTTCCAAACTTTTTTCTCCCTTCCTCCCTCCCTTCTCCCCCCTCCCCAAAGACAGCAAGCAATCTGATATAGGCCATACATGCACAATCATATTAAACATATTTCCACATTAGTGATGTTGTGAAAGAAGAATCAAAAGGGAAAAACCAAGAGAAAGAAAAAACAAACAAAAAAAAGGTGAAAATAGTATGCTTCGATCTACATTTAGACTCTAAAGTTTTCTCTGGATGTGTGTAGTACCTTCCATCATGAGTCTTTTAGAATTGTCTTAGATCATTGTATTGCTAAGACCTAAGTCTATCAAAGTTGATCATCGCACAATGTTGCTATTCCTGTGTACAATGTTCTCCTGGTTTTGCTCACTTCATTCAGCATCAATTCATTTAAGTCTTTCCAAGTTGTTCTGAAATCTGCCTGCTCATCATTTCTTACAGAACAATAGTATCCCGTTATATTCATATACCACAACTTGTTCAGCTATTCCCCAGTTGATTGGCATCCCCTCAATTTCCAATTCTTTGCTATCACAAAAAGAGCTGCTATACATATTTTTTGTACACATGGAGTTCCTTTTCCCTTTTTTTAATGATCTCTTTGGAGTACAGACCACCTAGTAGTGGTATTGTTGGATCAAAGGATATGCACAGTTTGTTTGTCTTTTGGGCATAGTTCCAAACAGCTCTCACAACTCCACCAACAATGCATTAGTGCTCCAATTTTCCCACATCATCTCCAATACCCATCATTTTCCTTTTCTGTCATGTTAGCCAATCTGATAGGCGTGATGTGGTATCTCAGAGTTGTTTTAATTTGCATCTCTAGTCAAATTTAGAGAATTTTTCACATGACTACAGATGGCTTTAATTTCTTTGTCTGAAAACTGCCTGTTCATATCCTTTGACCATTTAACAATTGGTGAATGACTTGTATTCTTATAAATTTGATTCAGTTTTCTATATATTTTAGTAATGAGGCCTTCATTAGAAACACTGGCAGTAAAAATTGTTCCCCAGATTTCTGCTTCCCTAATTTTGGTTGCATCAGCTTTGTGCAAAAACTTTTAAATTTAATGTTATAAAAATTATCCATTTTTATCTCATTTGGTCGTAAATTCTTCCCTTCTCCACAGGTCTGACAGGTAAACTATTCCTTGCTCTCCTAATAAGTTTATATCACCCTTTATGTCTAAATCATATA